AGTTTCTTCCCACAGTGCCAAGAAGTCCCTCCTGGGGTGTCCATTATGTCACCTTCTCTGTAGACCTCTGCACCTCCTACCATTTGTGCGAAGATCCTCTGTGCCTATTCCCTGGGGCAAGTGGAGCCTGCCGTTGAGGTGCCCTAAACAGAGCTTGAGAGACCTAAGGCCCCTGGGCCAAAGATAATGGGGGTGAGGAACCCTCACCTGGCCAGAGGCACTAACCTGGCCTCCCAAAGATGGAGAAACACAGGGTCTTCTTGGTAATGAGTTCCCTCCAGTGACCCCTCCCATCCCCCAGACACACAGAGACACTGGCATAGTACCCTCACGGCAGCCTGAGCAACACAGCCCAATGGCCCACTGATTGGTCTAAGAACAGAGCTAGGCCACAGCAGAACACTGAGATGCCTCAGGATCTTGTTAATTGGTTATTAATGGTAGGAGGCGGAGGGAGGCCAAGAGAGAACCTCATGGCTGGAGGCCCCCGTCCTCTGAACCATGCTGGTGGTTTGACTTAATCTGCTTTTATTTATTTTTTTATGTTTATTTATTTTTGAGAGACAGAGAGACAGACATGAAAAGGGGAGGGGCAGAGAGAGAGGGAGACACAGAATCCAAAGCAGGCTCCAGGCTCTGAGCTGTCAGCACAGAGCCTGACATGGGGCTCGAACTCACAAACTGTGAGATCATGACCTGAGCTGAAGTCTGACACTTAACTGAGCCACCCAGGTGGCCCAGACTTAATCTGCTTTTAAAGAGGGTCCCAGGAAGCTGCAGGAACTGCCTAGCTCATGTCCCATGCCTGTCACCAAACAGACACTACAACCCTCCTCTGTGTAGCTTTTATGTCATCTCTTCCTCTGCTCTCAATTACTAGTATGTTTGTGAGGAGTGCCCTCTCTCCTGAAGGGCATTTGTCCTTTCCATCCCTCCCACCTATCTACCCCCCCTGCAAACTGCAACCAGGCTCAGGTAATGGGGTTCGATGACAGCGGGGTTAGGAGGTCCCCATTTGGGGGATGAAAGAGAAGGCGAGACTAGTAAAGGGAGGAGGCCGCTGACAGCAGAGCCCTAAGGCTGTCCCAGCGGCCAGGGACTAGTCCAGACAAGGGGGGGGGGCACAGGAGGGGACTTCTCCAGCAATGCCTCTGGAACCTGAGCTGGGGAGAAACCCGATCCCCATGTTGGGGGGAGGGTAGGAGGAGGGTGAATGATTAATGAGGGAGATTAAGAGATTAAACTTGGGTTCTGGGCTGGATGGGAAGGGGGTGCTGCATCAGTTGTCTTGTAGCCTTCACCCCCCATATACCCTCCACCCCCAAGGCGCAACCCTTCCTGTCCTGGACCTTCACAGAGTGATCCACAGACAGGCACCTTTCCGCAGCCCCCCTCCCCCGTTCTGATAGTCTTCCTTTCTCAGCATTCTCCAGCAACCCCTCATGTCTCCCACCTCCACGGATTCCCCTTATTGTCCTTTCAGACATTTGGGGTCCTCTGCTCCTCCTCCTTGTAGAGATCCCCACATTCCGACTTTCACTCCCTGGGGAAGGAGCCTCCGTTCTCCTTTAAGGATGCTTTCTCACACCTCTGCGCATCATCTCTTTTCAGATTTCCCTTTCCTCGTCGTCCCTACCTTATCTCTCATTCCGTGACACTGCACCTCTCACCCACATTGCCCATCTCAGCCTCCCATCTAGCGGGTTCCTTTACCCAGCCCTCCACCCCCCAGATTGTTGCCTCTCTTGGCACAATCTTAGTTGTTCAATAAACAACCTTTAGTTTCCGAATTTCCCTCTCCACGCACTCCTTTGAATCCTGTGATTGGGGATCCTCCGAACAACCCCCTCAGGGCAGTGGACGGATGAGGGCCAGTCCCGGAGAGGTGCCTGCCCGCCCCTTTCCACCCTTAGGGAAGTCCGTTAGTGAGAGGGGGGTGGGCGTTGAGGGAGGAAACTCGCGGCCGAGGGGCGAGGGGCGGAGCTGCAGTCCGTCTCGCACACTTCAAGGGTTGTTTTCTCTTTCAGAAAACGTTGTTGAATGAACCGACTCGGACACTTCCACTTTAGTTTCGTTTCTTCTAGGGCCTTGCTTGGGTCCGTGAGCCCTTTCTGGCCCTTTCCGCCGGCTCATAAAGAGCTCTGGGGGCGTGCGAGCCGAGCTGGGGGAGCGGCGGGACACACACACACACACACACACACACACACACACACACGCACACCGAGAAGTGTGCTCCATTACCAGTGAAGTACCTTTTCCCTCCTTTCCCGCCCACCCCGGGCCGGGGACAGACTGCCCGGGCTAAGAGGGACCTGTTCTCTCCTGTGCCAAGGGCGGGCGCAAAGCTCGGTGCTCCCTTCCCCCAGGTGAGAGTGGACCGCGGAAACGGAAGCGGCAGGGGCAATGGCCGGCTGGGCCCTGCCCGTGAGTACCGATGCCCCCGCTCCCTCCCACCACCGGAAGCACAGCGAGGTCAAGGGCGCCCGGGAGTGGGCCGGCTGCGCGCTGGGACTGCCCTGCGGCCGCCTCTTTGAAGACAAGGAGCTCGTTCTGGGTCGCGCAGCCCAAGAGAACCCTGGGCTTGATTCTGCACCCCCACCCCTCACCCCGTGGCGCAGATCGTGACCTGAGGGGCACAAGGTCTGTGTGGCGCAGAGCCCGCAGCTGGCCTGCATCAGCCACCTCGGGAGACTCACCACAGCTGCCTCTGCCACCACCGCTGACAGACAAAAAGAAGGTTCTGCTGGGCCCCTGGCGAGGCCGCCACTGGTCCGCCATCCCAGATCCTGTCCTGAGCACCTTCTACTGCTCCTTGGCCTCAAACCGTGCCTTGTCAAAAGCCTCATCCTGAGGCTTGGTCCCTAAGTCAGCCTTATCTTCTGACTGGGCCTTTTTGACGCCAAGCTCCTGCCAAGCCCCAAGCTACTCCCCAACTCCTCCTGCAGCCACTTAGGACCTGAAAAGTCCCCAGGAACGTTTCTACCTCCTTCCCCCCAAGTCCAAACCTCTCCCTGGTGAGTCATTCCTTGAAAATGCCCTTTCAGGGGTGGCTCAGTTGGTTTAGCCTCCGACTCTTGATTTAGGCTCAGGCCATGATCCCATAGTCGGTGAGATGAAGCCCCACTTGTGGCTCCTCGCTGTCAGCCCAGAGCCTGCTTGGGATTCTCTCTACCTCTCTCTGCCCCTCCTCCTGTTTTGCAAGCACACTCTGTCTCTCAAAATAAACATTAAAAAAAAGAAAAGAAAATGCCCTTTCACCGACAAACTCTTTGAGAACAGCCTCAGTGTGGCTGCTTGAGTGGGCATGGAGTCCCCGGAAGAGACGGGGGGAGCCCTGAGATAGATATAATGAATCCCAAATCCCTAGATGTATGTTGGTGTACAGGCTGATGCAAAGGAATGGAAAACCCCGGGTCCTGGCAGAGAGAGGGTTTTCTGGAGGAAGTGACACTTGGACCTTGAAAAGACAGCTGAGTATGGGCATAGGGGGACAAGCATTCCAGGCATGCAGCTCGAAACATGGGAGGCATGGGGAATCTTGGAGATTCTGGCAGGGTGGTTGTTCTGCAATGTCCCCACCCTCTTGCTTGTTGCCTGCCCCTCACACCTGAGGGCTCTTGCTTTCTGCAGCCTCCCCACATTGTGCTTTTCTCATGGTCTACAAGTTTCATCTGTGTGGAGGGAAGCCCAGGTCCACCGTGCACTGGTTGCTATGCCCAGTCCCTTTAGCCCCCCGCCCCAGTCTCAGGCTCTCTCAGCCAGTTCAGACCTCCTTCACTGTACACCTCCTCCCAAGTCTTCTGCCACCTCATCTCTATCCCTGGGAGCTCCGTGCCTTCAGCCCTCACCAGCTAGGCACAATGACCCCTTTGAACTCATGGGAGTCAGACTTAGGCCAGTGTAAGATTTAGGTTTCAACTTGAGTTCTGGCCACAATTTATGCTGCTTGCTCCCTCCCACTTGTCCCAGATTCAGCCACAGCCTGTTAGCTTCCTTCAGGAACTTGCTTTCTCCTCCATCTGTTATTGGCCCAGTCAGGCAAGTGTCTGACTACCCCACTAAGAGGTCATAGAACAGGAAGACTAGCTAAGTTTGTTTCCAGAGCCTAAGGCTCATGGCTGGGCTCCTATAAAAAAGGGGATGTTTGCTGAATTAATCAAGGGAGTTAACAGCCTTGCTGCTTCCCTCTTGTTACTTGAAGCTGCCTTTGCTCTGCTGGACACTAGTTCCCTCTCCTCATCCTTGCTTCACCTAGTCCGGGTACCTGAAGGACAACCATGTCTCCAACTCAACACCCTTGTTCTCCCTGTGTCCCACCCCGCAATTTTTTTTTTTTTTCGATTCCTTCCATAGTGCAATTCTTTGATTTTTTCCTTTAAAATAGCACTCTTCTGGGGCGCCTGGGTGGCGCAGTCGGTTAAGCGTCCGACTTCAGCCAGGTCACGATCTCGCGGTCCGTGAGTTCGAGCCCCGCGTCAGGCTCTGGGCTGATGGCTCAGAGCCTGGATCCTGTTTCTGATTCTGTGTCTCCCTCTCTCTCTTCCCCTCCCCCGTTCATGCTGTCTCTCTCTGTCCCAAAAAAATAAATAAACGTTAAAAAAAATAATAAATAAATAAAATAGCACTCTTCTTCAGTCCTTCAGTGGCCACTGTCCAACCCTAGCCCTACTCTTGAATCAAGACACCTCCAGTCAAGTTTGTAGCATATGCTGCAACACTCAAGTAGAGTGACAGCTCCCCTCCAGAAAGCCTTCCCTACCTACACACACACGCGCGCACACACACACACACACCCCACACAAGAGCTGGTATGGGTAGCCTGGTTCCACTTAGCTCACCTTCTGAATTTTACATGTATAGAGTCCTCTACCCTTCTCCTTTGGCAATTCACTGAGGGGCAAGGGACAGAGAGAGGCCCTCTTTCATGATGAAACTCAGAGGACTTCTAAGGGAAGCAGGACACAGAACAAAGCACGCATAGGTGGAAGGAAGAGAAAAGATGCTTTTTTAAAGTTTTTATTTCAAAAAATAAAGCCGCAGTTAATTTCACATAAATATCTGGGGAGGGAAAGGGACAGGGATGTGGTGGGGGCTTGGCCCCTACCTCCTCTTCTCTTTCACACTGTATTGTAAAAGCAAAGGGGATGGCTAAGGAGAAAACAAGCAGAAGAAGCAGTCGGTGGGAGCATTCTTACTCAAAAGGCCCCCTCAGCACATCCCTGCCCTGAGGACTGCCTCGGCCCTGGCTCACCTTGCCGAACCAGCGGGAGAGCCATATCTGCTTCATGGTCATGTGATCTGGGAGAACTTCATTGTCAAAAAGGAGCTGTACCTAGGAGGGAGATGGGGACAGTTTTAGAAACCCCTCTCTCATGCAGGTCAAGAACTGCCCTGGTCCACTACAGACTCTGTGAACTCCCTTTGAGCTCCTCCCTTTCCCCCAAACACTGGCTGTGGGAATACTCACATGCTGGGGATTTAGCATTAAGCGGTGACATAGGACCCTTCGGAGATGACGAACTTCAGCTCTAACAGAACATCGAACATATTTGTTCTGGGGATAGGGAGGGAAGGCAAGAGGACAAGGTGTGTGAGGGAGGGGCAATGGGGAGGTGAGTCCTCAGAGAGGCCCTCCCCTCAGCCCCTCTCACCTGCAGGATGCTTTTATTCTTGTCCTTCCCAGAACTAGGAGGGAAACAGACACAGGTTAGGAGCCCTATCTTTCCCCCTGTCCCTCACCAAGAGCCATGGTATACTCTCTTCAAGGGAAGAGATACTCCCCCTCACTGCTCACCCTCTCACTAAGCCCCTCCCAGGTTTTGGGTCACTGCTTGCCCTCTCACCAAGCCCCTCCCAGGTTTTGGGTCACTGACATTGTCACATCAGACAATTCATGACCTGACCCTTACCTCAGGCGCTCCAGGCATAGACTCAGCTGCTCATCATATCGATAGTAGTGGGCTTTAGAGTGGTCGAAGCTGCTGAAAGGGAGGCCGAGGTTGCTCAGGGCTGGCTCTAAGAAAGAGTAGTGAGGAGAGTGGCACAGATTCCATACTCCTTTTTCCCCAGAGAGAAAAACTGGGCAGGAGAAATGCTCTGGGGGGTTTACCTTACCCTCCTGCTGCCAAGGGACATACCTTCCCCACTGGGCTGGGTGACCCGGTCCAAGCCTCGGGACTGGTAGAATTCTCGAATCCGTTTCTCTTCACCTAGAAGGGAGGGGGGATGTGGGAAGTAAATATTAGCCCTCCCTCATACTTTGTCCCTCTTGGGTTGTCAACCTCTTTACCTACATGATTCCCACCAAAGCCTTTGTCATCTCAAGCTGCCACCCAGCATCAGTCCTCCAGAGACCCCTCAAAGTGAGGTTGGTCACTCACTGTCTTGTAAGCCAGGCACTAGCTTGTACACGATGTCCTGCATGACCCGGTCCAGTTTGAGGTTGAGCAGTGGCTGTGTCTCGTGGATCTTGATGTTGCACATGGGGCAGTACTTACTGGTTTGGAGATACTTCACAATACAACTCTTGCAGACTGCAGGAAGGAAAAAGCAGACTCTTAGTCTCTCTGGGAATGGGATTCACGGGCTGGGTGGGGTGTCTGGGTGGTTGGGGCAGGCGGCCAAAAGCCTGGCAACTAGCTTGGTGGAGACTAGGGCCTGAAGGACCAGACAGAGTCCAGGGCACTCACAAGTATGAAGACACTCTGTGATGGTGGTGGCATCCACGAAGTAGCCGGCGCACAGACAGCAGACGATGTGTTCATTCAGGTCTTTGATCTTTACTCGGACCTCCTCCTGCGGACACACCGCCCGTCACCAACCATTCCCTCCAACGCCAAATCATACGCCTTCCCAGCTGCGAAAATGCCTCTTTCATCACACTCCAAGGCCAAGCCTCGCACCCTGCACGATCCGCAAGGGATTAGCTCCCGGGAGCTGACACTCCCCCTCCGCCCAGCAGGGGGCTCCGCGCACAGCGGGGGCTCCCTTCCCGTGGACTCGCCCGACCTTCCTTTCCCAGGGGAGACTACACGACGTGGGCGGCACAATGCGCAAGCGTCCTAGCTCGGAATTTGGCAACCCGATCGCAATCGCGCAGGCGCATTGGGCACCCTGTCTCTGCGCAGGCGCACTGGGCGCCGGGCCAGCCACCGCCCGTCCTCTAGCCGGCCCCAGTTCGCACCGCTAGCCGACCACAGCAGTAACCCCGCCGCCCCTGCACCTCGTTCCGTAGCGGGTCCATCTTGTACACTGACTGGAGCTGGTTCCGAAGCCTCATCGCGATCGCAATCTGGCCCCCCTGAGGAGACGCCATCTTAAAGGCTGATCCCGGCCTGCCACTTCCGGTGCCGCCTGCGGGGCGGGACTTGTCGCCCAGCAACGAGGGCTTAGGTCTTTTCGGATTCGTTGACCCTCTGTAAGGCCCCGCCCATGTCCCTTTCTCCCCGTGTGCTCACCTGAGCCTCACTGGCCCCTCCCCCTCCTCAATCCGTAATTAGGGAGTGGGGGGGCGTGGGGAGGGGGTCCTATCTCATTGACCTCTTGTAGTAATCATCATAATAGACCCTACTCGACCGCGGGACTAACTTTTGGAGCCTGAAAAGACTATCCCCTTCTACCCCAAAGGGCCCGGCGGTCTCTGCCAGCCGCCGCTTAGGGTCGTCTATCTCCTGTGACCACGACCCCGCTAAAGAAGCCCCTCCCGGGTTCTCTCCTCATAAAGTCGCCCTCGTCGGCTGACGCGTACGCGTTACGGAGCTTCATCTGGATGGCAGGCCTTCTCCCGGCTCCCGGCGGGATTTTCTCGGGGCTTTGCGGAGTCTCGGGGCTTTGCGGAGAGGGTGGCGGAGAGGGTGGCGGGGAGGGAGAGACCCCCAGGGACTTGGTAGTGATCTTATTCCGTCCCCCGCCCCCCCCCCCATCCTCCCCTGCCGCCGGGGCTTGTGGTGGCGGCGAGTGGTGGGGGGGGGGGCAGACCCTGGTTAATGATGATGATTCAATCATCGGCGCCTGCGGAGGCCTGGGACAGACTAATGCAGAGCAGATGCCGAAGGAGGAGGGGAGGAGGACTAGGACACTACCGCACATAGACACGCTGAAGCAGCGAGCGCCTGCAGTAGCATAGGCCCAGTCCCGTACTTGGAGAGGACGCAGGAGCTCTAGACCGTGTGCACTGCCATCCTTAGGTACTTCCAGTGGGATTAAAAACCAAGGATAAGTTTACTGTGAAGTATTAGCGTCAAGTGCAGTTGGAGAATCAAGGGAGAGACCCCAATGGAGACCACCAAAGGCTTTCTGGAAGAAGTGGGACTTTGGGTGGTCACAGTTCAGAGAATGGGGGTGGGGTGCCTGGATAAGAAGTGTGGTGGAAATAGAAAAGAAAGGCAGATTCGAAGGGATTGACCAGGGAGAGGGATAGGAAAGAGGCAGAGGTGTGGATGTGGGAGTAGTGATAGAAACAGGGCCTAATGGAGCTGGGACTTTAGCCTGAGGGCAATAGGGAGCTAGCAGACCTTTTTTTTTTTTGAAGGGAGGGAATTATTCTATGAAAGAAATATTTTGCTCATTTATCTTCTAGTAAATTGGAGTGGATAAAGCAGCAAAAAGTGATGAGATTAGTGATTTTTTAATTAACCCCTTCTCACTACGTCCACTGCTTACCTCCCTGCTCCAAGATACCATCATCTGTCCTCTGGATGATTGATTGCAGTGGCTTCTTGCCTGCTTTCCTTGCTTCCACGTTTCCATATGAATAAAAAAGGATATAAGTTAAGTTTTTGAGTTGATGGATATGTTTATTATCTGTGGTGGTTTCATGTGTGTATACATACACTTTTGTACACTTTAAATATGTGTAGTTTATTGTATGTTATTTTTACCCTAAGAAACCTGTTAAAAATAAAACTAAAAAATCAGGTGTCTTTTCCTTAAAATTCCAATAGCTTTCTTTTTCAGAATAAAAGCCCAAGTCCTTACAATCCTTCAAGGCTTTGCATGGTCTCTCCAAATCACTCAGTCTCTCCAGCCATGCTGGACCCCTCACTGTTTGTTGCACAGATAACACGAAGATATACTTGCATTATCCCCAACTTGAAATGCTCAGATGTCCAAATGGCTCCTTTCTTCCAGGTCTTTACTCTGTGAGGCCTTCTGTGATCACTTTAGATAAATCACAACCCCCACCCTTTCACTCCTCCCCTTTCTTTGCTTTTTTTTCTTCTTCTTCTTAGCATTTATTGTTTTTCAATATATATTGTCTTTTGTTTTACCTGCCTCCCCCATTAGAACATAGGCTTTGTTGTGGCAGGATTTTTTTTTTTTTCTGTTATGTCTGCAGCTATATCTCCAGTGTCTGGTGCATGGTAGGTGTTCAATCAAAATTTTCTAGATTAACACATGAATGGATATAGGTGGTGGTGATGATGGCCTAGATTAGGGTTTTATCAGTGGAAATGGAAAGGAAGGGCTATATCTGAAATATTTCAAAAGAAAGCATTATAGGAGGGAGTGAGCGGGGAGCTTGCAAGGGGAGCATGTCCCCCAGCCTGGTGGACTTTAAGGTGGCTGCAGCAAAGGCAAGCAGAACTGGCCAGAAGGTTAGGACAGAAAGGCTGGAACACAACAAGTGTCAGAGCCAAGGATGGAGATCTCTGAGTCTTCTGGGTGGATATAATAGGTGGGACTGTTAGAATGGGTGAAACCTGAGCAGATGTAGAGAGAGGGAAAGCTGAAGTCAGAGATCTGAGAATGCCCAGTCTTCAGTGGAAAAACCAAAGTCAGTGGAGAAAAAACATAAGCATTGATTATGAAAATCTAGAGAAGTAGACTAAGACAATATTACATAAACCAAAAGGGACATTTCAAGAAACAGTTGGTGAGCCAGAGAGTGAAACATGTCAGAGAAGTCCTCAATAGGGACATAGGAGCTCTTTGAAAAAGAGTGTAGTGAAACCAGGTTGTGATGAGTTAAAAGAATAAATGATGAGGGGGTGCCTGGCTGGGTCAGTTGATGGTAGAACATGTGACTCTTGATATTGGGGTTGTAAGTTCGGGCCCCACGTTGAGCACACAGATTAGTTTTAAAATAAGTAAAAAAAATTTTTTAAAGAAATGGTGAGGAAGTGGAGGCAGTGGGTATGTGGTGGGGTGGACCAGGGAAAAGAAAAACAGAATCTCTCTTGGAGATAAAAATCTCTCTTGTACAGATAAAAGAGACCTAAGACAGCAGGGGGTAGGAAGGACTAAGCTAATGACAGAAATGATGATACAGGAGTGGGGACCATCTCCTGGGAAAGACACTGCACAAAAAGCAGAAAGGAAGGAAAGGCACAGGCTGAGAATGTGCCTCTTCCTGTGAAGCTGCAAGCTTAAAGGCCTGACAACTTGAAGAATTAGGGACCACCTGCATGCATGTAGGACATGGGGAGATGGATGCAAAGCAGTGTGTATGGGAGGTGGGAGTTCTGACCTCAGGGCCTCCATCCTAGATATAAACTCAAAGGAACCACTTTTTCCAGAGAATTGGGATCAGAGAGGTGGAGGCAAGCAGAGAAATTCCTAGGACTGTGGCTGACAGAATTGGATACCCATTGTTTCTGAAGTGAGGCAGTAATTTTTTTTTTTCTTGTAACTCCCCAGAAGATATGTATATATTACTGGGTTGGTGACCATTCCCCTGCCCAAGACTCGGTTGGGCCATCTCTGGGAGGCAGTGCCATCTGTGCTGACCTCAAAAGGCAGGATGAACAGTCAGCAGGTATACAGGTCTGCACGATGTTGCCTCTTCCTCTCTGATTGATTCATTCAAGAAGGATTTATTCAGCTTGATTGTAGACACATTAGTGCCCACCCTTTCCTCAGAGGCCCACCCCCTAGAGTGGGTAAAGGGACTGCCAGATTCCTAACCTGCAGGCCAGTTCCTCTCAGAGTCTTTATTTACTTTGCTGGCTCCCTAGGCTCTCTGTTTTCGTTCAGGGGATCCAGCCCAAGCTGTCTCGGTGGTTTTCCCTGGACAGCAGAACTTTCATACTCCCTAGTTGCCCCATCTCTCTACTGCTGACAAAGGATGCTAGGGGAGGTGATAATGGCTGTCTTTTCCACTAAGATAACAACACAGCTGCCGAATTGGCAGGATCCTCTGCCCACCTTTCAGAAGGGGCTGTTGGCAGGATGGGGAAAGGACTGAAGAAACTGCATAGTGGAAGTAGACAAGAAATTGGGGGAGGATGTTACATATTATTAATGCCAACTGCCTGCCTCCCGCCATGGTCCACTCCCTTCAGATTGAGGCTTCTGAGAACACCAGGGCCTGGTGGCTTTAGTGGGGGAAAATCCACTCCCTTTTTTCTCTTCTTTATCTTCCTGCCCAGATGCCCAAATATCATTCCTAATTCCCTGGAGAGAAAAGACCCCTTATCCTGCCTCAGGCACTGGGCTGCAGCCCATCTGCTAGGGAGAAAGGAGGGGCAGAGTCTTTTACCAGGAGATCCTGGAGAATCAACTGAAAGATCCGTGCTCTCAGGGAAGCCCGTTTACTAGACTTAGAAGGCATTTCGGCTTATACGGGTAACCGGCAGCCTGGAGCCTGGAGTGGAGCATCCAGAGTGGGCTGGAGTCTAGGGGCTAGGGCTGGCACAGCAGGGCGGGGTCCTTTGGCCACCACGTGTCCAAGGCAGACCAAGCGGCTCATCGGTGCCCACCCGCCGCAGAATGGTAGGAACACCCCCCTCCTTGCGCCCAGTCTCACCGGCTCGGAGGCGCCAGGGCCCCCCCGGGGCCGGGGCGGGCCGGGGAAGGTAATGTAATTCCGACCCAGCTAACCCGATTATGGCGGCCTGCACCGGGCCGGGAGGCGGCGGGGGCGGGTCTACGACGCGGGGGCCCGCCGGGCCCGGGTCCCATCCCGGGAAGGACGCAGAGTTCACACACTCCCAGCTCTTGGGTCCGCGGCCAGAGGTCATAAGGTCACCAAGCGGCTTCAGTTTTTCCCCACCTCCCTTCTCTGACACACTCCAGGCACAGTTTCTAGGGCTTGGGTGGGGTGTAGCGTCTGTGGGAAATGAGGCGGCTGATCCCCCCCCCCCCCCCCGAAGGCTTCGGTGAGGACTCATGTGTCGCCTGTGGAGATTTTGTCCTCCTGACTTTGAGGAGGGAGGGGAGAAGTGTGTGAGAACAGACTTCCTAGGCGCCTAGTGGAGGGGCAGAGTCCCGCATCGGTGGTCCCCTGTCCGGGGCGGAACGCCAGCCCCAAGCTCTCACCGGCCGGAGTTGGCCCGGCTTGGGCCAATGGTCCGCTCTACATCGATTTCAGAAAATCGAAATTCTCAGAAACACAGGGCAT